CAAGTGCCTGCTCCTTTTGGTGTTCACAAGTCCTTGGCTTCTCTCTCATTTTCTAATTTTGCTGGCTAAGGGAAAGCAAGCAGGGAGTGTGTATGGCCAAGAAGGAGTGGAAGGAGCCAAGCAGAAAGCTGACTGCAGAAAACATCTTGCTGTCTCTAATCAGTTTGCCAGCCCCTCTGTGAGTCAGATAAGAGAGTGAGAGTCAGTGCGTGGTGCTCCAGGGTCTCACCTGTGAACAACTCATTTCTGATACTTTTTATACTTTGTGATGGAAGAAGATGGGTGGTAACGGTCTTCAGGAAGTGAGTGTTTATGCACCCCTCAGCCTTCCATTACAGGAAGAGGGATTCCTCTCCTGAGAAGTGTTTGGGGTCCTTCAGTTAACATGCTACCTTTTAATGAGGGAGTATTGGAAAGCACCAGCTGGAGGACACATCAGAATGCAGTGTGTCCTACAGGTTGTGTGTATAAAACTGTGTCATGCAATATGCAGAAAATTCAAAGTGCCAAACCAATATAACTAGTGAGTTACACTGGAAGATTTCTCTGCTTTGCACTGAAGGATGCATGAATGAACTGATAAATAAGTAAATATGTCTGAGGAAGGAGGAGTAGGGAGAAAGTCCAGTCCACTGCTTCATAAACTTCAGTGCCATGTTAACCAGTTTTGCTCTTACAGCAGACCTGCTATGCTATCAGAGTGCTTTAATGTTTAATTCACTTTGATTTGCACTACAGAAATATCAAATGTTTCTGCAGGCAAACCAAGGCATCTAAGGAGCACTGTTGGGAATAAAACTCTAGAAAGACCTTCAGAGAAATTAGAAAAGGGGCATTTTATTGGTTTTTATTCCAGTCCTGTAATTCTGCTCTGTGGCTCTGTTTTTTCCCCTCTGTTTAAATGAGTATGTGGGGTAGACTGATTTTAATATCGTGTCCTCATTTCTGTGCGTGACCTGTGGAGGCTGTTTGTAGCAAGATTAGAAAAACAAGCAAATGTTTAATTTTGTGAGGGGGAGGGGAAAGGATTCAAAGGCCCTGCTGCTGTTGGAGAACATGACTGCTCTAAAGTAGATGTATTGAAATCTGCTTATCAGGAAAAAGAGTCTTAATCAACCCTTGTGTTCCTGCTACCTTCAGCATCCAGGTCATGTGCATTTCATAAGCAATCATCAGGAAAAATTAACAATCATTAACTCTTATATTAATATCCTTTCAAATAGGTGGTCAAATCTGAATGCATTTTGCCACAGAAACACTGCAGACTCTCTCCAGCGCTGCTTCAGAGAGGCTACTGACAGGCCTAGTCCTTTCTGCATCACTCAACAGTGTGAAGAGTTTGGACATTGCCAGGTAGAGATGTCGGGGAGCTCTGTGCAATTAGATGTGCTACCCGCATACAGTACAAACGCTCAGCTCTCTTCTGAGGGCATGCTCTGATTGGAGGGGTGAGGGCCAAAGCTACCTTGGTGTCACCACCTCCCTAAGGGATGTGGTGGAGTTTCTGGCTACTCCCTGTAGGATTGAAAGCATAAAAGGGTATGCTGAAAAGACTGGTTTGCAACATTCATTTAACCCAAGATATAAAGGTCTGCAGAGGATGTGTCCAAAAGCTTTGTTTTGTGCTTCACCAAATTTGTTAAGCCCACACCTAGCTTTTGGGCCGTCACAATGCTAGGGAACAGTTGCATGCTGGAAACAGAGGGTGAGGACCAGCAGCCCTCCATGGGTATGAGTGCACCATGGAGGGGGTGAGCCAGCTGGACTTCACACCTGGAAGCGGGGAGGCAATGCCCTTATAGAGCCAACAGTGGGGACAGAAGGCCGATGCCCACCACCTCACCTGGAGACCTCTGCTCACATCCACTGAAGGATGCAGTAACGATGCCTCTCGGGGCCTGCAGCCCCAGGAACAGCTCCGGGTCTCACATGCATCGTGGGATGCGATCATCTGAAAACCCTTGTGCCATGGGAACAGAATCAAAAACTCCTAATGTGTAGGAAGTGAAATAAAGACCCAATAATGGTCCACAGAATTACTATAATTCACCCTAGGTTTTTTTGCAGGCTCTCTACACAGTTATCATGGTGGTGCCGGCAGACTGCGGAAGTACATGTGCAAATAGCTAAGTTGTAATTTGCAAGTGCAATTAGCTGGTTTTGTGAGTGCAATCACAGTAATTGCAGGAGCCTAACTTATGTGCTTCACTGTTTTTCATCTTCAGAGCAAAGACTAATTAAACATTAATAATAACATTAACAGCAAAATTAACATATATATATTTGAGACCATGAATTATTTGCTTTACTGCAAGTAACGTAAGTGTGAGTGAGACAAAATGCATGCTGAACAAAAAAGAAGCTTGCTGCATTTTTTTGGACTCCCCATACACAGCTGCTTCATCGCCATGCTGGTGTCATAGCTGTAGCAGCAGACAGATTTAGGCATGACTATGTGAGGATTAGGGCTCTTTGTAATGGAATCTGGAGAGCGCGTGCTGTAAGATGGCATGTAATGCGGGAAGTCATTCTCGGATTCCTATTGCATACAACACTGCATAAATGCATGTAGTGCTTTAAAAGCACTGGAGGAAATACAGACCTGTTGGACTGGTAGTTTACTAACCAGCCTAAACTACCCTGCTGGTAGGTTACCAGCACCAGGACAATAAATTTGCTATGAAATGGTGCAAAGACACTAAGCCAAATCTGGTTGATGTAGGAAGGCTTCATGAGGAAAAAAGGTTCTGTGGAGATTTAGGGCATTAGGTAAAAAGGAAATTGGAAGCTGTTCCAAGTATCGTGGGTGGTATGAAAAAAAAGGCACAGAACTGAGAGTAGGAGAACACTACAGCTGTAATAACCAAACTCAAATGTCTATTTTTGTTCACAAGCACAGAAAGTTGCCTTTTCATTTTGTATCTTGCCATATGATGGAAGCATACAATACCGGATGAGGATGTTGGCTGTTTCTGGATGGCTTTCTGCTCTTTGCTTACCTGCGCTGCAGTTCTGTCAGTCTGTCATTGTTTTGAACAGCACAAGGAGTGAACTGTTGGACAGAAACGGTGTTTTCTTTTCTTCAGACGAGTGGAGGCGAAACTTGACTCACTAATAGCACCCTTATATAAGTCGGGCATATACCAGCTGCTTGTTACAAGCTTCCATCCATGTTATTAAACCTGGAGATTTCGTTTTCATCTGACCAGCAGCCACCTTTCCAGCCTTCAGGTTCTTTGTCCTCTTTAATTAGCCCTTTCTGTTCATAGTCTGTCATTTACTTAGTTTCTGCAAAACAACTTAAAGTCAACATTGATCAGAACAAACTGTACCTGTCACTGGGGATTTCAAGAGGTACAAATGATCCATAGTTTTTATAATGGCTAAAGAAAGAAAAAAATAATGAAACTCTGAGCTTGAGATATAAAATGAAACTGAAATATAAAATGGAAAAAAGACAGAGGCATAGAAGCAGAATTCCTTAATACCATGCTATCATGGTTGAAGAAGCTGTCATGACTCAATCACAGGCTGAGATGGCTGCTTTATCAAGCGTGAACCTCCATTTATCCACCTTTCTGTGAAAGTATATGAAAAATGACTCCTTGTTACTCCTAGGTGGGCTGACGTGCTACTGAGATCAAGCACCTCTGACATACACAGGGGCTGTTGCCTGACTTTGGCTTTTCTGAGTTGCTAGAAATACTTGTCCAGATCTTATTGCTGAACAGTTTAGGTTACTGTTGATGCAAAGAAAGGAAGGTGGAGTATGGAGAGAGAGAGATAGTGCAATGAGGCAGTATTGGGCAAAAGATAGCTTACATCTGCTCTTGTATTTGCGTACCCTGGCAAAAGCCCTTCTTCTAATGAAAAGCTCCTTATAGGCGCGTGTGTCTGGTAGACCTTAGATAAGCCAGACTAGAGAGCAAAGGGAGAGAGATGAAGCACTTTGCACTATCTGTAAAAGTAGATAGGGAGGCAAGGCTTGTACCAGAGGCATCACCTTTGAAAGCCTTTCACAGTCTGGGATTTTGTACTTGTCTTTATGTAGTTAATTGGCAGATGCTTGCTCTCTTACTTGGAGACAGACTACCCGAGGAAATGGCCCCCACTAATTGAGCTAAAGGTGGATATTTTTCTTCTTTGAACAAGGAGGTTGGGGCGGGGCAGGGAGGTGAAAAGCAAGAGCCCCAAGGCTGTGGGCAAAACTCAACCGAGACCTCCACATTTTGGACAGCTGTTTTTTCCTCCAATTATAGGCATTTTGATGATGGGTTTACAGTTCCTATGTAAGTAATGCTTATCTCTTGTTTAGTGAATGCTCCAGCTGAGCTAGCAATCTGATATTTGTTGGTAGCTTGTGGGAGGCCTAGGGCAAAACAAGAGCAAGGAGCGGGGAGCAGCCCTCCCACCTTCCCCCCCATTCTGCAAAGAGCAAAGCTGGTGAAAAGGGTGAGGAAGAGAGGAGGTTTGTTTTGATTTTCCCATATTGTGCAACTTGTAGCATTTTGCTATTGTGTGTGAGGACAACATGAAAAACTGCTTAAAGTTTTTCATAAAGAGAAAACTCAGAGGGATTGTTAATAAGCTAGACCTAGGAACATGGGAAGACAGCAGAACAGACCATGAAGCTGCAATTCTTCCTATGTGACTGCACTGATTGTCCCTGAAGTTAGTTATTAGCTTGGCAGCACCCTTCTGCATCCTCTGTCTCCACTAGTCTCACTGCAAGAGATAGTGTCTTCAAAGAAGAGGCTGAAACAGTTCAGGAAGTAGAGCAGTGGCCTTTGCCACTGCTGTACCTGGCCAGTGGAGGAAGGATGCTTAGGTGAAACGCTTCAGGGACAATCACTTGAAGTTGAAGCCAAGCTCCTGTTATTTTGTTGGATCTTTTCGCCTACACATCTTCCATTCTCTAGGGTTAATAAGGCCAACTCTGAATTCCTAAAAGGTTGGTTTTAGTATTTGATAACCTGTAGTGCCTGCTGATCTATCAGGTGACATTAATTGGGAAATCTTTTTTTAGTCGCTTCCTTAGGTTGGGCATGTATTTTAATCAAAAAGCTACAAAAATATAAATGAAAGGCATGAGACTTTCCTTGGGGCTCTCTAGAAGTTGTTAGAGTGGAAAAGGACACACCCTGTTCAGAAAACTTAGTGCATGCTTCAGTAACCTAAGAATACATTGATTTCTTAGAAAACATTAGGGTTTATCTTAAAGTGTGGTGCCTTTGACACAACAGAGCTGTTTCAGGTCTGTTTCAGTATTCCCTCAAGAGGCCTGTTGTCCAAAGTGTACTGTCCTCCAAGGAGCAGGAACTGCCTCACAGGTATCAGACATTGCCATTACAGTAGGATGCAGAGGTCTTTAATAATAATTTAAAACCACTATAATAGTTTCTGCTCACTTAATTTAATTTAAATCTCTTCACTCTTTGCCCTGCAAGCCTAGCTATTCAGGAGCCCTACAATAAAGATAACTGTATTCAAAATAATTTTTTGTTGTAAGTGCAATGCATTACTGATGAATGGTGGTAAATAATCCTGACTGGTTGGGAGGTAGCATGGATGCTTGGGAGACCTCGTGCTTTTATACTCCCTCAAGCATCATGCCATATTTTTGTAACCTCTAAGTACTCTCTTTCAAACTATTTGCTCCTAGATTAAGATTTGTTATGAACTCGTGAAGGTGCTGGCGTTTACCATTTCACACTGCTGGTAGGGAATACAACAGCTTTACCGTTTTGCTCTTCATCTTCTCACTTACATTAAACAATTATTTTTATCCAAATATAATTTCTTTTTGATTCCTTGGGCCTTTATATCAGCCACATTTTGATGACACTCTTGTTGACCACTGTCACTACCTCATCCCATGAGAACTTCACCTGGGACAGGAGACATGGATCTGAAAGAATGTCCAGGAACATCCTTTCCCTTAATGCTCATCACAAGTGTGTTTAAAAGAAAAGTGGCACTTCTGAGAAGAAAATGTGCCTATACCAGTGTGTTTTGATGGAGAGGATTCATGGAGCCCCCAGTTTCTTTTCTAGTGGAAGAGAAAGAAAGACAGTGGTATAGTCGCTGTGATGCTGCAGAGCTGGACTGAATTTGTGAATGAGAGAAGTTTTCAGATTCATTTATTTGTCAGGTTTCGGGGAGGGGAGGGTAATCTTGTAAAGGGAGACTTTAGCCAACTTTCAGGGGTTCTGCTGCATCATGCCATCAGTTTGTGTTACTCCTGACAAATGCTCCCATGTACTACGCCAAGTCGTAATTGCAGATCACTGTCTGGGCTTCAGTATTGCGGCATTTATTTCCCGATTGTCTCCTTGAAAGTGGGATGAGGTAGTGGTATATTCCCATTCTGAAATCTCATTTACCACTGCCTGGATGACCTACTTGTATTTTACTCCTTTACGTCCATGCAAGGAAAATCTAGAGAGTGTTACAGGGAGAGGCTTCATCGATCCTCACATGTGAGCTGGAGGGAAGGTCAGCTTCATATGCAAATGGGACATACTTTTTCTATCATAGTGTTGCAGAGAGGTGGAAATGAAACTAAGGGGAAGATTTCCCTTGTAGTGAGGATGAAGACCATCTGAGGGGTGAGCAAGTAAGATGTCTACAGTGATCTGAAAAACAGACAAAAGACTAGGAAAGGAGAGAATAGTAATTTTAAGATTTTGTTTTCATCAGAAGGAATGCTCTGGAGGCCTTTCAGCTTGCTACAGGAATGAGACCAGTGAGTAAATGTTGTTGCTACAGTTTAAAGAAGGAAACTGGAAAATTTCTCTTTTTTTTATGAAGACAAATTATTTGCAAAGGAAATTTCTTCCACAAACTGACTTGTTTTCAGAGGTTATTTCTTATTATATGGCAGAGTAAACCACAGTTTCTAAAATCAGTTTAATAAAAAATAAATAAAAATTAGTTCAATAAGCAATTCATAGAATCATAGAATTGTTTAGGTTGGAAAAGACCTTTAAGACCATCAAGTCCAAACATTAAAATTCATGTAAACATAGACAGCTCAGTCCAGAGGGGATCTGAGGATCATCCTGTCCATCTCCTTGCCCTGAGCTGGATCAGCTGTACCAATGTCATTCTCAGGTGTTTGTTTAACCTATGTTGAAAAGCCTTTGATAGTGAAGACCATGGTCAGCCTGTTCCAGGTCTTTGCTATTATTATCATTAGAAAGTGTCTCCAGCTATCCAACTGAAATTCTCTTCTCCATAATGTAAGCCTGTTACTTACTGTCCTGTTCATCATGAACATAGGAAATCAACTTTTATCCACAGCAGACTTTGTATATTTGAAGACAGTTGTCCTACATCCCCTTCAGACTAAGCAATGCCAGTTCTTTCACTTTGTACTCTCAGGTAATTTTTTTAGACACCCCATTTTTCTCATTTCTCTTCTTTGGACTATTCACAGAAAATATCTGTTTCAGAGTGGTCCCATATCTGAGTCTGTAAGGTGAGATGGTGGATAGAACATTGGCTCTTGCTGTTTCCTTTTAATTCAGAGGGTCCAAATACAGAAACTGAAGATTGGTGTAGGTTGCTCTGTGATGTCAAGGTGGCAAGAAGTCCAGAGGAACAGATTAATTGTGTTTGACCTTATTAGTCTATTTGAGGTGAATTGCGACCTCCAGATAGTCAAAATCTGTTCTTAAAACGCTGATGTTTATTTAAAAAAAAAGTAGTAGATTTTAAACACAGTAATGCATTTGGTTTATTTTAAAATCTCTACTTTGAAACTTTTGCTCATCTCTAAATGCTTCTCCACAATTATAAGGTTTAATTTTTAATTCCTTCTTTTCCTTTCCTCTCACTAAAATGATAATGTTAGCTTCCACTCAGTCACCTGACTCCAGGAGCTTGGGCTGTAAGAAAAACACCATATGCAATTAATAAAGTTACTGGATTTTCTTGGAGGGTGACCAGCTTGATTGGTAATGTGGTCTCTAACACTATAAAATTTGAATCTATTCTTTTTTTAATATTACAGATGTATTGAAGAAATAGTTTATGATAAAAAATCCACTATGTTCTGCTGGGTGTTCATTTCCTTGCCAATTACAAGGCAAGGTGGAGTTACTACTTACTGCCAATATCTGGCCAGTTCACTTCAGCTTCCCTTTCTGTCCATTGTCGAAAAGCTTAGGGGGTTAACTATAGCTGTAGCTTGAGTGAAAATTTTGTTCTCTACCCATATTTGGAGTGTTGTGTTACTCTCTGTATGAAGGAGATTTTTAAGACAATGCCTTGAATTGATTTGTTGTTATGAAGATGATCTGCTGAAAACCCCTACATCGCACTGATGGTTTTGCTGCCTTGCCAGTCTCTTCAACCTCCACCTTTACTGATGACATTTTATACTCTTCTTGTTGCCTGCTCTAGCTGACCTGATCATTTTTGTAGTTCTGTTTTCTTTTTCCCTTCCTGCCCTCCCCCTCACTTCTGTTTTCTGCCCATGATATATTACAATTTCCAGCACAGCAGGAAAGGAACATGGAAGGATTAATCAAGAGAATCTAAATGAAAAGCTATAAAATCTAAAAGCCAGACTGGATGGTTTAGGATGTATAACCTTACTTTCCAAGTCACTAGCATTGGCTGTGAAGCCTCCAATGAAATGGATGGGTGGTCTTGTCTGGATAATCAGCAGAAAAATTTGTAATTTGTACGCATTCCCCACAGTCCCATCTGGCAGCTCCCTTCTGGCAGCTGTGGTGGGGATGCCAGGATTGAAATGGTGCATTAGTATCTTCTCACCCTGTTAAATGTATCCTTCTGAGCTGCTCTCATGTCTGCTAGTAGTCAAGCATCTCCAGCACTGCTCTTGACAGAGGGGGTTTGTTTTATTGAATGTGCACACGCCCTGCTTACAGCAACCAACTTCTCTTTGATTCAAACAGCATATGCTCATATGTGTCCCCAGACAAATTGCAAATTAAAGTGATACCAAGGTCCTAGGAGAAAAGTTTCCCTCCTCTCTGCCCCTTCATTCTTATGCTTCCCATGTTTGTGGTGGGAGGTGGAAAGAGCGCCTGCTTGGCACATGGGAAAGGGGGAAAGGCAGGCTGTATTGAATAAAACCCACCAGGGTTGTGGTCCCACTTCTTCAGAGGAGGGGTGGAGGCCGTCAGAGTGAGGACTCCTGCCGCCTGTGCTCATCACCACCTTTGCCTTGCCAGCTGTGTGACAGCTGCAGCTGCACATGGGAGAGCATTTTAAGAAGCTGCTGGGTTGCACAGGGACTGAAGTACAGAGTGGGAGCCAGTACAAAAGTCTGAGGCAGACCACATTTGGACAAGACTGTTTTCAGGGTGTGGATTTTTTTTTTTTTTTACAAAGTGCTTCATTATGTTTGTTTGAAATCAAGAGTCTTAAAATGGCATCATCTCTTTTGCATGGAATCACAGAATCACAGAATAGTTTGGTTTGGAAGGAACCTTTAAAGGTCATCTAGTCCAACCTTCCTGCAGTGAGCAGGGATATTTGAATGTTTCCAGGGATGCGGCATCTACCACTTCTCTGGCCAACCTGTGTCAGTGTTTCATCACCCTCATTGTAAAAAATTACAGTCTAAATCTACCCTCTTTTAGTTTAAAACCATTATACCTTGTCCTGTTTCAACAGGCCCTACTAAAAAGTTTCTTCTCATCTTCCTTATAAGCCCCCTTTTAAGTACTGAAAGGCTACAATAAGGTCTCCCCAGAGCCTTCCCTTCTCCAGGCTGAACAACCCCAACTCAGCCTGTCTTCAGAGGAGAGGTGTCCCATCCCTCTGATCATTTTTGTGGCCCTTCTCTGGACCTGCTCAAGCAGATCCATGTCCTTCTTATGTTGGGGGCCTCAGAACTGGACACAGTACTCCAGGTGGGGTTTCGTGAGAGTGGAATAGAGGGGGAGAATCCCCTCCCTTGACCTGCTGGCCACACTTCTCATGATGAAGCGTAGGATATGGTTGGCTTTCTGGGCTGTGAGCACACATTGCCAGCTCATGTC